TTTTTTTTTTCCCTAATAAAATTAATTATTCTTTTCTTTTGTAGGAATATCAGGAAAATGGCCCATTATTTTCAGAACTTAAATTTTATCAGAGAGCTGCAAAAAAAGACTGTAGTAAGTAAAATAGCAAAGCAAGCTACTTCCATATATGTGCTTGCTAAAGTGAGTGTTGATATTTTTGTCTTTTCTGGCCTTCTGGAAAATTCTTTTCAATAAGAAATTTTATTGTGAAGTGATACAGTTAACTGTTATAACATATAAAAGCAAGACAGATGGTATACAAATCTTGATATGGCATATATAATGGGTTATATATTTTAAGTCAAAGTTGTTTCTACTGCTTTACATAAAATGTTGAGTTGTTGATCTAAGCTACTAAGAGTTCTCTAAGAGTAAAAGAGAATGCAGTTTTTTTTTTTAAACAAAAAAACCATTTGGATAGGAGGAATGTAAAGAAAAGACATTAAAATGGATAGTAGACATATAAACAAAAGGAATGATTGTAGAGTGGATTAAGGTAAGGTGTATGGAAATGATCAAGCATTATGTTTTTAAAAATGTTAGAAATGTGAATATTGGGAAATTAATTGGAGCTGGTTATCAGATGTGAGAACTACCAGTTAAAGGATTTGAATGTGAAATGAATATGAGCAGAGATGAAGAATAATAAAAGCATTTTATAAATACTATATTATATAGATGGGCTAAGTAAAACATTAAGGAAGTTGGTAGGAGTAATGACTAGTAGAGTCAAGGTCATTTCCATTATGGTTAGGAAAAAGAATGATGGGTCTGGCCTTAACAATTAACTTTGTTTTCCTTAATAAAGGCTTCTAAACCTAAAGACTGTAGTCTTTACTAACTGCTTAAACTATGTCAGAGTGACAAATAGAATCCATTAAACTTGATTGTTTATCAGTAGAGCTGTCTTAAACATTAAACATATGGTAGAAAAATGAAAAATGAATAAGCTATCTGATTGTTTAAGTGGATTTGATTTTTTGTAAATTTGATCAAAACAATTTATGTATGACATAATTTCAGAGTAAGATGATTTTTCTGCCCAATTTCTGTTTTTTTTTTTTTTTTTTTTTTTTACAATTTATGTATGACATAATTTCAGAGTAAGATGATTTTTCTGCCCAATTTTTTTTTTTTTTTTTTTTTTTTTGACTACTGTGGCTTTAGATTTTAAAGTAATAGGGAAGAAAAAGCCATCTATTTACCGATTTTTTTGGTAGTTAATATAGATTATATTTAGAAATTTAGCTAGCATATAATTAATTTTTTCATTAATAAAAACATTTGTGTATATAAAACAATGTATTTATAAGACTATGACTTTTGTTTTTTATAATTATTTAATTTTAAAATTTCTGTATTTGTTTTTTGTGTTAATCTTATAATTCTGTTATAATAGAGTTTGAAGTCATTGGATAAAGTTTGATTTTTTAAAATTTTTACTTTCTAGGAAGGTTGAACTGTTTTGGTTAGCTAATTAAGTCTTAGCATCTATGCAAAAGTGAGAAATAATGTGAATCTTTTTTCTTGTTAAATTTGTCTTTGCAGTCAAAAAGTGGATAGAACTCAAACAACTTGATTATTTAGGAATTCCTCTCTTTTATGGATCTGGTCTGACTGAATTCAAGGGAAGAAGGTAAAATGAAATTATTATAATCAAAGTTGTTCTATAACTATTTCTTATGTGATCTACTAGTTATTTTTTGCTATGTAACAAATTACCCAAAACATAGAGGCTTTTAACAACCAACTTATAGTATCTTAGTTTCTGTGGGTCAGGAATCCGCAAGTGGTTTATCTGAATGTATTTAGGTCAGGATCGCTTATGAGGATATAGTCAGCTATCTGCTGGGCTGTAGTCATCTGAGGCTTGCCTGGGGAAGGATCTGCTTTGAAGGTCACTCACATGGCTATTGGCAGGCCTAGGAAGACCTGCTTCTAATTTTACTCATGTGATTGTTAGCAGGCCTTACTTACTTCCTGATCATGTGGGTCTCTGCACAAGCTAACTTAACGTTGTAAAGATATGCTGACTGACTTCCCCTAAAGCAAGTAATTGGAAGAGGGAGAGAGAAAGAGAGCATACACAAGAGAGTGCATTCAAGATGAAAATCATTGTCTTTTTATAATCTTATCTTAGAAGTGATATCCTGTCACTCCTGCTATATTCTCTTTGCTAGAAGCAAGTCACTACGTCCACCCTATATTCAAGAGAGGTGAATTAATTAAGCTCCATCTCTGGAGGAGAGTCAAAGGAAAGAATTTACAGAAACATTTTTAAAACCATCAAATATGGCTAGTCATCATATATAAATAATTTATTAACATTGATTAAAAAAAGAAAAAAAAAATCAGTCATTAGTTATGTTCCCATTTTGTGCCAGGGATTTTCATATACTTTATCTCATCTTATCCTATGGATAGAATTTAAAATAGGTGATATTATTTTTATTACACAGGTGAGAAAATTGGCTGAAATGTCCATACTTTGTTCAAATAGTCTTTAAATGCTATAAATAAAAAACAAAATGAGCAAACAATAATTTTGAAGCAAAGTAAAAGGCTGCCAATAGAAGACTGAATGGCCAAGTAAATCATGGTCATCCATATCATGTAATATATAGCCTATTAAAGATATCAGAGTTATACAAATTGATTTGAAAGGGTTTCAGTGAGATACTACTGAAAAAAAGACAGGAGAAGTACATGTGATATGATGACATTTTTGTAAAACAAAAAAATTCTCTAATGTATGTGTTTGTATATGTATACATAGATATAGCATGGTGGCTCATGGGGGCGTAGAAGTGAAGGGAAGAAAAGAAGGGATGGAGAGTGCCCAAAAGAAAAGGAAGAAGTGCACTTAAAAGAGGCATGTTTATAAATGTATAGAGAATATAAATATGATTTTATAATGTCAAGAAAAAAATATAAATAAAATTTTATTTGTGGACAGATAATTTGTTAAAGGTCATATGGTGAGAAGGTAATAGAGTCAAAAGGAATTAAATTCAGGAATATGTAATTTAAAAAATCTATTCTCTTTTCATGATCTAAGACAGTGTGAAAGGTTCAGCACAGCATTCTCTTCTACTAGGAAACTGCAATGTAACTACTGAGTAGTATCTTCAAAAGAACAGCAGGATTATTAATGTGCATTCACTGGTTCAAATTACATCATTCTTGGTTGTAAGGTTGGGGGTATTTTTCTGTGTTTCAAGTTCATTAGAAGACAGTTACAAGCATTACTAACTGAGAAAGATCTCTTTTTGATGTCTTTCTTATAGTTACAGATTTATGATAATGGAAAGACTAGGAATAGATTTACAGAAGATCTCAGATCAGAATGGTATTTTTAAAAAGTCAACTGTCCTGCAGCTGGGTATCCGAATGGTAAGGAATGACGTATTTCACATGCTCTATTTTCAGTTTATTTACTTGTTACAATATAAAAATGTTTGCCCTTTGTGGAATTATCAAAGAATGAAGGATTATTGCCCTAGAAATGTCATTCATTGACAGTAGAGTAGAGGCTATTTTGGTGAAATTGATAACAGTGGACTCTGTAAATGACAGACTGTGCTGTGTTTGGTACTGCAAACTCAGTTAGGCATTGGTTCTATAGTCTGATTTTTTTTTCTCATAGCTTTGTTTTACATATCAGAACAAGCTTATATTGCTGTAAGAATAACCTCTTTTGTCAGTTATATCTGTAACAATGCAAATTATGGAAAAATAGTATTTTCCATACTAAATATGTGATGGTGTAGGGGTACTGTAAGGTTTTTGTTATGAGTTTGGGATGGTGGCAATAATTAGTTGTGGCAATGAATAATATATACTTTGCCACATAAGAAGCAATGAAATCTTAATAGTAACCAGTCACACATTTGTTTATATTGCATATTTGTCTTGTATGTGTTTGGTTTGCTTAAGACTCATTTGATTTTTTACATTTTAAGTAGAATGAAACTACTTATGCCAGGTTGGGATGTGTCAAATAGAGCTCATTAATTTTCCCTTTCATCCATTCATCCATTCCCCTAGTCAGTATATGTTTACTGAGCACTAGGTGTATGCAACGTGCAAGACTGAAGGGCTTTAAAGATGAAGCTAAGTAGTTTTCTGTTCTATATAGAGGAAGAATGCCTTTCCCTGTTCTCATGGACATGTATTTTGTTCTGAGGTCCCCAAGACTTGATTTATTATTGTTGCTTAGATGAGGAATTGCTGAGTGGGCTTTATGATTATTTCACTATAGATCTCTGGTTTGTGCTGTATTTTTCCTCTTTGCACAGTGTGTTTTAGCCACTGGGCTATAAGGAGCATAGGGATAAGCATTGTTGAATCCTGTTTTCCTTCTATCAGAGGTTCAGGTAAAACACTTGATATCTGAGGATCATTTTATTCAAGTGTTTTCTA